TTGGGCGTCGGATCAGGAGCAGTGTGGGCAGACACTTCAAATCAAACGTGACAGGAACATCCCTGTTAGTAAAACTGTATTTCCGTGGTGCTCTCGCTAAACAGCTAAGGAAATAAAAGGCTTTAAGTTGTCGAGTGTTTTGTCTTTTAGCCATTTCAGTGTCTTTTTGTTAAAATAAATCATTTGAATTCTTTTGAATAACTTCATAATCTTTGATGAATATTTAACATTTATGAGTTAAATACGAGGCTGCGCAGTGGTGCAGTGGTTAGAGCTGTTGCCTTGCAGCAAGAAGGTCCAGGGTTCGTTTCCCAGCCTGGGATCTTTCTGCATGGAGTTTGCATGTTCTCCCTGTGCATGCGTGGGTTCTCTCCGGGTACTCCGGCTTCCTCCCACAGTCCAAAAACATGACTGTTAGGTTGATTGGTCTGTCTAAATTGTCCTTAGGTGTGAGTGTGTGTGTGTGCATGATTGTTTGTCCTGTGTGTCTCTGTGCTGCCCTGCGAAGGACTGGCTCTCTGTCCAGGGTGTCCCCCGCCTACTTGCCCGTTGACTGCTGGAGATAGGCACCAGCCCCCCCCCCCCCCCTGCGACCCTGCATGGACAAAGCGGGTTCAGAAGATGGATGGATGGATGGATGGAGTTAAATACAAGAGTTCTTATCTTTATTTGGCTTTAGTTACAGGAAGCAGAGACATTATTTACCATATGGAAAGCGCTGTTGCTACATAGAATGGATTGGAAACACCTTAGACTAACAAATAAACTTTGACAGTTTAAATTGTGGACTTCTTTTCTCAGGAATTTCTTATGGTCTGCATGCTTTGGAAATGTTTGACTAGTGGCGAGTGACACACACACCGAGGAGCTAAAGGTATATAAATGCTGTGTTTTCATCCCCGGAGCATTCAGTCACCGGCTACTGCTAACCTCTTCAGCTGATCATCACAACAAGGCAAAGCTGGTTATAGCGGCACTCTTCATTTAGATGGTTGTTATAAAGCATTAATGAGTACTTTCAGCCTTTATTATTTAGGATTTTGAGCTTTTGCATCGGTTTTCATCGTCTCTATGTCATGTTGTGGGTAGTGTATTTCACCCAGGGCGTGAAGAAACACACGAGAGGAGAGGTAAGTAAAAATATGAAGTGTTTTATTTACAAGGTGAACAGAAGAAAAATTAGAACTAAAGGCGCTGCTTCTATGAACAAGAACAGGGAGGTACCGGAATCTATGAAGATAAAAACAGGAGATGAGCGAGGCCAGAACCAGAGAACCAGGATAACATGAGTCTGTAACTGAAAGTTCTTACGGTCCAAAGCCAGGACTAGAGCGGGGACGAACTGGGAGAGGTTGGACCGGGTGAGATGGCTCTGAGCGTGGGCAGGCGTGGAGAAAAAGGCCAGAGGATCCTTGAGTGACGAGACGTGGAAACAACTCCAGGCAAGGCAGGTGGTGCAGAACTGGATACTAGGACAGGATACAAAATCATGAGTTCAGGGTCACAGGAACAAAGACAGATTCAGAGGCTAGATGCTACCCATGTGAGAGTACCAACCAGCACTGGAGTTCTTCTTCTTCTTTAGGTGTTTTATTAGCGGTTGGCAAACAACGAATGGGGCATCACCGTCACCAACTAGTGTGGAGTGTGGTCTGGAATCGTGCTCTCTAAACAAAACCAAATGGGGGGAGAGAGAGAGGGGGGGGGGGGGGGGGGGGGACGGGAATAATGGTCTGTTTTCTTCCACCCATTGAACAGCTAACAGTATTGCGAGCATTTCACCTTCACTCACCCTCTTTTTTACTCTAACATGAAACTCAGGAACAATAAAAGCTATGCCAATATGATCTGCAGTATTCTTCGATGCATCTGTATATATTTTTACATAGTTATAATAGTGATTGATATAATCCTGTGCTGTATGTGAGTTTAGTATGAATGACCCATCCTTATTCTTTCTCTCCAACGAAGTTAAATCAACAAATGCCTCAGGAAGAATACATGGTGGAACAGCAGGTAATGGAACTCTTTGACCGATTTTAAACTGATCTAATTTAAGTTCTACTGGTTTTTTGATCATCACCCACCCAAAACTTGGTGTTTCCTTCTTTACTTTCTCCCAGCAAGGTTTTAGTATGTCTCGTGTTGGATGATCTTCTTTCTGACCCTGAAGATTTGCCCAATAATTTAAAGCTATTTGTTCTCGTCTGATTGCTATTGGCACCTCACCCATCTCTACCTGTAACGCAACTACAGGGGTTGTTTTAAATGCTCCTGTACAGAGTCTCAGTGCCTGATTCTGGATAGAATTTAATTTTAAAAGAGTAGTATTTGCTGCTGAATTATATGCTACACACCCATAATCTAATACAGATCTGATCAATCCATTATATATGGCCTTCATAGACTTCCTGTCAGCACCCCATTCACACCCAACTAAACACCTCATTATATTTAGAACCTTATACTCTTATCCATTATACTCTGAATATGAACACCCCAAGTCAACCTTTCATCAAACCATACGCCTAAGAATTTAAATTTATTTACCCTTTCTAACTCTTGACTATATAATTGAAGTCTAAGATCCTCTCTTACTTTTTTCCTTGTAAAGAACATCGTCTTAGTTTTATCTACCGAGAATTTAAAACCCCATTTGTATGACCATTCCTCCACTTTGCCTATTGCTTCTTGAAGTTTCCTTACAATAAACTCCACATTTTTCCCTCTTTTCCATATTGCCCCATCGTCTGCAAAAAAGTGAAAACCCCATCCCATCTTTTATACCATTAAAAACATCATTTATCATTAGAGAAAATAATAAAGGGCTCACTATACAACCTTGTGGTGTACCATTTTCCACAGGAAACTTTTCAGACATAATCTTCCCAATCCTCACTTGAATTTGTCTTCCCATTAAAAAGTTCTTGATCCATTGAAACATTGGTCCATTAATACCCATCTCTCTGATTTTAATTAAAAGGCTGTCTCTCCACGTTGTATCATAAGCTTTTTCAATATCAAAAAATACAACAACTACACTCTCTTTGTTTATTTGAGCTTTCCTAACTTCATGTTCTAAACATAAAACAGGATCCAGCGTATTCCTTCCTCTTCTAAAACCACTTTGACAGTTAGATATGTATCCTTTACTTTCAATGTAGTACATTAATCTTTCATTTATCATGCACTCCATTCTCTTACAAATATGAGATGTTAACGCTATAGGTCTATAGTTTCAGCACTGGAGTTGAGTCACGCCACTCCTTGAATCCTCTGCACCTCCAATTAGTGGAACTCCCAACAGCTGTGCATACTGCCGCACCCACCTGCAACACATAAAGCTGACACACCTCACCAGTAGGTGGAGGCAAACCGTGACACTCTAATGACTTTTCTACAGATGGCTTCAGGTCTGTCCTTGGCTCTGCTCCTCTGTCTGAGCTCTGGGCTCTGGACTGGAACGGATGTAAGTTTGAATGTTCAGACACGATTCTGATGAGAGACGCTTTCTGTTGTGAGTCAAACGAACATTTTATTTTTTCATCTACAGGCAGCAAGTCGAACCGGAGGTTGGTGATTCTGACTTTACAGGTTTTACAGACACTGGGACACATTTCTCTGTGCTTAGGCCACTTTTGCACAACAGAAGTCTATGTGGGCCAAACTGAGGACCAGTCATCGTTGTTTTGACTACATCTCTCAAGTTTAATGAATTATTTTCTCACTCAGACAAAACAACTGCCATGAATCTTTGCAGCAACACATTTTACACACGCTTACGTACTGTTTTGTGTGTGTGTGTGTGAGAATAATTAACTTTTCCATAGAATCCCACTTAAGTGTTGACACTGATCCTGATGTGCATGACCTTCTCCAGCTGCTGATGCTGACGACTGCCCTCCTGGTTGGAGTTGGTTTAAAGATCGTTGCTTTGTGTTTGTGAAGGATGCCTTGGACTGGGCTGCAGCTGAGGTGCTTTACTCACTTATCCTTCAACCTTTTACTCATGAATCCTTTTTTGGTCATAATCAACGTTTATTGACTTTTTAGTCGTTTCTATTTAATGTGGTTTCTATATTTTTATGTTACTGAGTCATTTGAGTTAAATACCGATCATTTGCGTGACATGAAATCAGTGTTTGTGTTTAAAATGAACTTGTCACGATGCGGTGGTGGTGGACCCATGTGTGGTGGAGCTTGACCAGGAGGCAGAAATGCAGCTCAGGTAAAATAAAACAGATTTAATGAATCATGGCAGGTAGGATGAAACAGCAGGAGCAACGTAACAGGGTGAAAACACAACAATGACCCGACAAGGGACAAGTGCAGAACAGGGGTATAAATACACAAGGATAATCAGGAACACAAGGGCAGGATAACAAGGGGCAGGTGAGTCCAATAAGCAACTAATGAGGGGTAGACGGGACCAAGAGTAGAGGGGTCGGAGCAGATCCTGACAGAACTAGTCCAAACTACAGTTCTTACATTTTAAAATGAGTTAGTTCAGCTCCTAGTTCATAAGGACGCAACAGCAGAAGACCCTTGGAGCTGGACCCCGACTCACAATCCTCTGATCACGAGGCAACTCGCTGTACCTCCTGAGCTACTGCTGAGTAGCCCAACCCTACACTGTAAAAAAAATTCCGTTGTTTTTACAAAATAATTTTGGCAGCTGTGGTTGCCAGAAAAATTCTGTAAAAAATACTTTGAACATGTAAACAGTTTTACTGAACATACAGTAATTACAACAATGTTTACTTGTAAAATTTACATATTGTCTCATTATTTAATACACTTTGAGTGTGATTTTATAAGGGATATTTTGTTAAAAAAAACATTTTTTACTGTATTTAAACAAAATATCCCTTATAAAAATCACACTCAAAATGTGTATAAATTAATGAGACTATATGTAGATTTTACAAGTAAACAATGTTGTAATTACTGTACGTTCAGTAAAACTGTTTACATGTTAAAAGTGTTTTTTACAGAATTTTTCTGGCAACCACAGCTGCCAAAATTATTTTGTAAAAACAACGGAATTTTTTTTACAGGTGAATTACACAATGTTTTTCTGATGAATTAACCTGATCGTGCTGTTATTTTATGCCTTTTTCCAGTTGGATTTACAATAATGTTTGTTTTGTTGTACATTAAATTAAATTCAATCTTACTGAAAAAGACCTTGCATAACAATAGAACTGTAAAAATGCCAGTGCAAAATTTTAAATACTTCCTGAAATTTTTATTTAAATTTGCTTACAATCTTTTTCTTTTTAGTAATATTTAGTTAGGCATATGTAATAATATTTCTAAACAAACTATGATAGCCAACAAACATTCACCACCTAAACGCAACTTTAAAGAACAATGAGGCTTTATATAGAGAATCACTTATGAAAAAAATAATAAACGTACACTTGAACACCTTTCAAACTTTTATTTTGAGCCTAATTTAACCAACTGTAAAAATATGTGGAAAAGTTTTAAGGTCCACAATTTTCTTACAAAGGAAAAAAATACTCTGCTGTCATGAAGAGCTTTAACATTCTAATAATTTCAGAATGCAACTTTCTAGAACAGTAAACATACTACCACTAAAAATCAGTATGGATTTGCTACAAAGCAAGTACAACAATGGAGAAACTGCGAACACTTGAATGCAGTGTAAATTTTTATGACGTTACTTCGCAACAGTCTCATAGTTTGAAAACTTTTTTTTTTCTTTTTCGACTTTTGTCCAGTTGCAGACATCACACCACTTGTGATCTGAAAGTTCTTGAATCAAGGTGAGGACCTTGGGGTACACATTATTTTTCTTTTCTTTTTTTTTTTTTTACAAAGGACAAAAAAAATACTCTGCTGTCATAAAGCAAGAGTTTTAACATACCATTAATTTCAGAATGCAACTTTCTAGAACAACAAAGGTACTAGCACTTAAAATCAGAATGGATTTGCTTTAAAGCAAAAACTAAAATAGAGAAATGGTGAACACTTGTATGCAGTCTAAACTCTTATGTGGTTACTTCTTTACAACAGTCTCAGTCATGGTTGGAAAACTCACTGACTTTAGTCCAGTTTCAGACATCACGCCACTCATGATCTGAAAGTTCTTGAATCAAGGTGAGGACTCGGGGGTTCACATGCAGTCTGGATTTGCCGGTTTCTTCCACTTTGGTGCCCTTTTCCGGGTTGATAGAGAAGAAACACCTTAAGACAAGGAAGACAAACATAAAACTACATCAAAATTTGATTCACAAAGCACTGAACTTTAGATTTAAAGACCAAGTTCACAGACAAATAGTTTTGTACCTTTTTTTGTATTATGACTGGTCACTGCGTTTAACATTAGGGCCGAACATGAAAATGGTCTACCAGTATCTCCTGCATTAGCTGTTAATGAAAAATAGACCGGGAACATTAGGATTAGAAAATTCAGACAACTGCACATCATGTTGTAAAGTTAGTATTCATGGACTTGGCCATCTTGGCTCATGATGGAGAAGGCGCTCCATGGCCAGCCAAGAGACATAGCATAGGAGTTGGCAACAGGAATCGGGTGAAGAAAACAGCAGAATTTGGAGACTTACATCATAATAATTGTGCTAGCTCTGCATTGTTTATGCTTTATCTCCACAAAGAACACAAGCATTAAGGAGTTGTGTTGTGGAGTTGCTAATGCTAACTGTTAGCTTCTACTAGTCAAGATGTGCTCAGCTCACTTGTGGATGCTAAACCAACAACAGCCGCCCTTCTTGTGAGAAAAGAAAGGTTGAGTCCATGAATGTAAATTTTCAGTGTGATGAAGATCTGACTGGCTTTTCTAATCTGAGCATTTTCCTTTGTCTATTTTCTATCAGAAGCAAAAGCACAAGATCGAGGTAGAACACTATTTTCACTTTCAGCCTGCATGAAAAACTCTGTGACCAATCATATTTCAAAACTAACCATAAAAAATGTTTCTCCGTATACCTGCTCTTCAAACTATAAGCAAAACAAAGACATGGTACATTCTTCTGCAATACCCTTTTTTTGTAAATCACATTTAAAAACATACCTCTGCAGAAACTCCAGTGTGCACGCTAGACCTGATGGGTAATGAATGTTCAGGCAGTAGTAGCTCCCAAACATCATGCAAAATGCAGAGATGAAGCAGGAGACGTTGTTGTGCCCAACTTCTTGATCCACACTCAACATGAACCGTTTAGCATAATAGCAGGATCGCCCTAAAGAGAAAACAAGAGAAAATTAAGACTTCTGATACAACAATAATATTTATATAAAAAATAGAGAGAATAGTACAAAGAAAAACAATGGCATAGTAAGGTTAGACAAAATAATAATTAAAAAAAGAAAATATTAAGAAAATGACAGAACACAAATATCAAGTACAGAGGAAAAACATTAGAACATTTTGAAAGCACAAACAAAATATGCAAGACGGATTAAAGAAAACAAGACAAAAAAACAACCAGAAAAAAAAACAACAAAATATTCTGAACTTACCACACACAATGACGGTAGGTGTCATGGGGACATTTTCCATCTGTACTTCTTCAGCCAGACATGTGTCCTCAACATAGAAAAACATTGCTTCTTCCTTTTCATCAAAGTAGTGAAGAAGTAGGAGCACCATCTCTTTAACATCTTCGGAAGAGCCGTCCAGTTCTCCTCTTATCATCTTCAGCTTTGTTTGAGCCTGGAAAAACCGTTTGTTCTTGTTCACACAAACAGTGTTCATGTAGTTTAGCAGTCGTTTTCCCTTCAGATCCATGTTCCGCGTGAATGTTTCCTTCAGTCCAAGCCCAGTTAGTCCTTTGTAGTGGACAGCCATGCCAACTTCTTCAAATAAAAGTGGCCACTCTCTCAAGATCTCTCGGATGCTTTTCCCCTGGTTAACATCTTTGCGCTGTGTGTAGAAAGTTGCCTTCATTAATTGCTTTATTTCCTCAGGATTTGTCTCCTTTTGGAGAACCATTGTCTTAAGCTTTTCCTTCTTCAGCTGCTGGCTTTCAGGGGTTTCTCCAAGTGGCAGGAATTTTACATCCCAGTTGATGCATCCATAAGTGTCTTGAACCGAAGCTCGCTGTTCTGGAGTAATTTCATCAGTGTCTGAGTTTTCAGAGCAGTGCTTTCGCTTTCTTATTTTGGGAACTGCAGATCGCTTCACGTTCTCTAGTCGATATTGCAGTTGTTTGACCAGAGAATGATAGCCAGGGCCAATGACATCACCCTCGATGACGTCTTGTAGAGATTTTGGATATTTTGCCACCATCTTTTTTGCTACTTCTGTTGAACTTCTTTTACCTATGGAAGAACTTTTTTTCATCATTTCTGATACCACAATCCTGACCATCTCCCTCCTCATTTTTGGACTTGGCCGTTTTCCTCTCTCCAATGACTGCATCAGTTCCTCTGAAAACTTTCTCCATGGTATCTCAAAGGTATCCACCCAGTCGATTTCAGATGTCTGGTTGCTGTTGGAGTTTGATGACACGCTCAGTGGGGAAGAAGAATGCAGAGATGCAGGAGTTTCTGGTGAAGTACAAACTGGAGACCTGCTGCTTTCACGATCCTGGTCTTAGGAGCACATATAAAACACAAACACATGCAAGCTATCAGAACTGACTATGAATATCATGTTTGCAAGTGATTGTGTAAATTTTTTTTTTGGCAGCTAATGTTTCTAGTAAGACATTTAACTTACATCTGGATTTCCTAGCAGCAAGGGCTTTTCTGGCTTGTACTGGCCTCAACACTGATAGCAAGTCATCCTCGGCAATAAATTGGAAGTCGTTGTAAGTTTCCACTCCAATTGACTTTAAAGTTTCTTCGAGGATTTCTTTTGAAACCTCTGTGAGGTCAGGCAATACGTCATTGATAGCACCACGTAGAAATGTTGGTTCTGCCATTTCTGCAATAAAATAGACAAGATTTTAAGAGAGACGACGATAATTGTAATTAAACATATAGTGAACTATGTACAGATCAAAAAGCCTTCCACTTAATGTCAAATATATCATATCTGTCTCACACTTTTTAGTTATGTACATCCTTAAGTTTTTATCAATCTTTTCTTTCCCTGTTTTGCTTTGCAGTGGGATTTCCATCATAGTGCTCAAAGACTTTTCTATTTTGAAAACACACTGTGTTTCAGAGGAATAAATTGTTGTCCATTTACCTCATAAGATGTCAAAGGGTAAAAGTCAACCAAGTCATTTATGTTAAGACACAAAGTGCTTGAACTCTGTTTTGTTACTGAATAGAGGTGGTGTTCAGAATGATAGACACCTGTTTGTATATCCACAACAAAATATACTGCATTTTCATTTTGAATGAGGATTAAAACAAGTTGTCCAAACTCCATAGACTCATCATATTTTGATACTAGGAACTGCCCCTTTTTGTACAATGTTCCCTTATATTGGATTTCTGTGGAAACACTTGTATTGTTTTCTGAAAATCCAAGGTCTTTTACTGCCTGTTTTATTGCATCGCTGTACAGGTTGGAGTAAAAAACACAACTGTAGTTGACCTGCAGCAGCCGATTGCAGCTTGTGCCCGCTGAAATGTATGCCTGAAACATCTGATGTCTTTCTGACAGTGTTAGGCATATGTTTTTGAAGTTTTTTAAATGCCTTGCACATCTCTTAAAGTAACCATGTTTACTCTCAAAACGCATTGTCCACAACCTAATTAAAGGGCCAAATTTCAAAATTAGTGCTGGATAGTGCCGTAAGAAATGTTGTTTTGGTTTAAGAGAAGTTTCAGGGAATAAAGATTTTTGAGCTTCCAAATATTCTTGGATTATTATGTCAAGATAGGCAACTTGTGGCAAAGACATTTTTTGTGCACAAACCAAATCAACAATGTCTTTGAGTTGGAGAGTTGTCTGCCAAACATCATCTTGTAGATTTTGTATCTTGTCACCAATGATCACAGGCAAAAGTCTCAACAGGTTCCAGTTTTGAACAGCCTGACCTGAAAGCCTGTTTGCCTCAGAGTTGACTGAGCATGGCTTTGTGAGAGCATCTGATCCTTTGTACTTGAACTGTTTGATTCGCCGGTTCAACAGAGTATAAGTAAACCATTTCTTTGTTTTTACAAAATATTTCAAGTACAATGCTACATCATATGACAAGATGCCCTCAAATAAGTCATGGCCTAAGCAAGGTGGAAGGCCAGGTTCACAGACATGAAAAGACTTTAGTGAGTTAAACTCAGAGTTTACCTTGACTCCTTTGACGTCTTGATTGCTTCCAGTTTGTAGATGAAGGACAGCAGAGTTGTAAGCTTCAGGGGTGCGCTGTGGAGAACAAGCATTTGGATCATTTTCAAAGTCTTTACGTGTGATTTCACAGTACCTACAAAAGTACTTAGAGGTACTAAAGTTTTCAGTAAACCCGCCGATGCTGTGTGATCCCAAATTGTCACCAGCGATACAGAAGAGTGCTCCTTTGATAGTTTCTTCACCTGCAACAATGCCGTTTTCCTCTAAATCTTTTAAATCCATGAGAAGTTCTGAAAAAATCTTAGCAGTTCCAAACTGTTTTAAATCTTTCTCTGCACACAATGAAACAAGAAACATGTGATCAGTGCTTGACCGGACATGAACAGGTAAGTTAGCCACAGATAGATAAACAGCAACAACTTTGTGTTTCTTTTTAGCTGAACCAAGAGGATTTACAATTTCGAAGGCATCTTGGTACAGAATGAGTTTCAGGCACCCAGGATTTTCAATGAAGAACTGGTTGCACTGAAAGTTTTGTCCATCACTTATGTCATAGAAAACATCAGAGTTTGTTTCACTGGACTGTTGTAACACTGAATTCTTCCATAATTCTGATTCTAAAAGTATACTTAGTGTCTGTTTAATGGGTATGTAGTAGTAAAATCTCTGAGTCATGTTTTCATCATTCCCTAAATTAATTTGTTTTGGTTCTGTGTATTTGAACACTTTTTTGAATGTATGTGCTCTTGAATACGTTGTTCTTAGTGGTCCTCGATGACAAACAGAAAAACGATCTGAATCTTTCACGCAGTCACATACTTTAGCAATAACATCATCTGCTAGACAAATGTCATCTTTTAAAAGTGAGTTCAGTTTACTCAAAGTGTAATCCATTCCCAGCTCATGTACATTTTGCATCTCTTCAACGATGGTCTGTATTGAGGATGCTGGTAGAAGCAGCTGTCCTTGAAGTTTTAGGTAGAAATGACACAAATTTCTGAGGAAAGCCTCACTGAAATTTGGAGACAATTCATTTGTCAGTGTGCCATTTGGGCTCTCGCCTGGCCCATCTTCTTCTGCCTCACTACAAATCTGAAATGTGCTTTCCTTGTACAAAGCATCAATATTGAGCGCAGTAAAGCCTCTATGTTTACGGGACATATGAGCTGTGAATGACGATTTAACAGTAAAATTCTTTTTACAGCCTTTTACTGGACACGCAACGGGCCGTCCCTCCAATTATATGCTCCTTTAAATGAGCAACAAGTTCTTTCACGGTTTGACTTTGGCGCCCACACAACGAAATGGCGCACTTCAAGTTTTCAACAACGGCTTTAGCTGATTCAGGATGTGAAAGCACGTTGTGAACTCGGTAAAAATGAGTTTTAAATGCTGCATATGTACAAAATGTCCGTTTGCATTCAGTGCCGAGGCATTTGAATAAACAACTAGGTTCGTTTCTGTGCACTCTGCAGTGCAACACATAGCCCCTCAGGGACTGTAAAGTTACTGCAAAATGTGCAGACAAGCATGTTTAAACAATGCTAGAAAACTTCAAAGTGCGACAGCTCCGTTAAAGCTAAGCTAACTAGCTTTGCTGCATGATGAAACAAAAAAGAAAAAAATCCCCTAAAAACAAACCACTGTGCTTTTTACATTTTAAGGAAATAAAAGTTAGCTTACAGACACTTGACGTTGACGTGGTCTTGTGGGTCCTCGGGAGAAATTTTTCGGGCGGAATTCAGCCTCAGAGTCAGAGCCGTTAATTCAAACTTCGTCCAAACGGAAGTCACGCGAGAACGAGGGCAGAACGGAGAGCTGGAAGAGTGAAGTGTCCTCTGCCATGAGCTACATAGTTACAAATCACTATAGCCTTGCACCTATATTGGCCACAGTGGGGGAAATTTTGAGATTGTAGCAAAGAACTCAGTATAATGTTCCAGTTGAGTTGGGTGTTATCTCCGTTTGTGACGGCATGATGTACGGAAGGCTGATGCTGCCAAAAATGAAAAATAGACCAAAAACAAACAAATGAGAAAATACTATTGGAAATAATTAAACAATGACATTATGTCATTGTTTAATTATATAAATAAATTTATGTCATTGACATAAATTTATTTATAGTTAAATGTTTTGTTAGAACTTTGTTTAATCTATTTGTTAGTTTATTTCTTTCTATTTTTAGTTTTAGTTCCTCATTTATTTATTTATTTCCTCATATATTCATTTATTTACTTTCAGTTTTGCAAAGACAATTGCTTCACTTTGATTTTCTGCTTTATAAAATGTATCTTATATCATCGACTAAGGATAAAGTGAAACGTGATTATTTGCTATAGCCTTTTTGATAAATGTTTTTTATTTAATGCACTTGGGACAAGGAAATAAGGCAACACTTGAATGCATGAAATCTTTATCTGTTCAAATTGTATATATTTTTACAACCACTAAACGCATTCTGTTGGAGCCCCTAAAATCCTGGGTCACACAATGACTAATAATCTGTGCCATCACTGGAGGGTTTCTGAAGAGATGAACTGAAGCCCAGTGGGCCAGTCCCACCACTGCCATGTTGGCCTTGTCATCTGTCTTGTCACTCCTGGAAAATGGGGAGCCTAAGTCAAACCCATCTACTTCTGGTTACGTGGCAGAAGCGTTAAGTGTCTGCCCCATGATCAGACAATTGCAGGCTCAACCCACTCAGTCCATCACTGTCATTGGGTAAGGTATTTTTTTGCACCTGTAAACATTATTTTCTGCTGTGTATTTGGCATTTTTAACATGGGGCTCAATAGGAACTTGATATCTGGAACCAGCCCCTAGCAGATGGGGGGGACTGCAATTTTTAAAAATGTATTTATTTTTATAAATTATTACTGAAAATGTAAAATTTAATGGTAACAGGAACACTTAAAATAGATGTTGGTAAGAAATATTGATGAAATAGAAAAAGTTTGTAAACATGATACAGAGAATCCGAAACATTTTAAATCTGGGCTTTGAAACTTGTTGGATTGTTTTGGTCTGATTTTCATGGAGAAACAAATGTGCTGCCTATAAAATTTGACATCCAGTCAATCAGCCAAACACTAAATTCATAATTTAATAGTCACAATACTGTACAGAGAAATGTTGTATCTTTAAAAACAATATTAATTGTGTATTTTTTACATCATAGAAATGTAAAAAAAAATTTTATGTTGTTTCTAAAGTTACAACTTTTCTCTGTACAAATTGCACAAATCTGTGTTTTTCACATGAAAATACAATAGTATTCACATTTTTTTATTTTAAAAATTACAGTAATTGTCTGTTCAACATTATACAACATCATGCTGTAAAATAAACACCATAACACTGTATTGTGCGCCACAACTTTTTTTTGTTGAGATTTTACAAACTTTTCCTGTTAATTCTACTGACTTTTTTTACAGTGTAACCCACAAATCAAACAGGGACAGAAATGGCTTGTATAGCCCCTCTGATCTGGACAATGGTCCAACAGTAGATGGGCGTGGCTTAGGCTCTCCATGGCGGCTGCGTTTGTGGGTCTACCCTCCATAACTCCCGTGGTTAACTGGACTACACGGACATGGCTCCGTGGAATCTGGAGTTGTTGGAACTGACAGAAAACGCCAGAATGAACGCGTTCACCTGATATGAACAAGTTCATTGAACTTGTTCAGGCACAACTCTATGTGTAATCATGTGTTTATAGAGCATTTAATTCCTCAGTAGTATTAATCCTTTCCTTTTGCTTTTCATACTCTCGTGTTTTCACCTCCTTCTCAGAGATATTGCCTCTCAGTTGGTGGAAATCTGGCCTCCTTCCACAGCACAGCTGAGTACAACTTCATCAGGGATCTGATCTTGAAGAAAACTGGAGCTCACACAACCTGTTGGGTTGGAGGCAACGATGCAGTGAAGGTGAGCACAGCGTCTCTGTGGTTTCTGCTTGGACTGGATACAGATGACTCACATCTGCTGCTGCTGTAGGACGGTGTGTGGATGTGGTCCGACGGCTCAAAGTTCGACTTCACCGCCTGGCACGCTGGCGAACCAAACAACGGTGGAAGTGAGGACTGTATGGACATCAATCTGGGAGGTAACAATCTATAATTGTAAAAAACTGCTGAAAATTTCAGAAATGATTTGATCAACTTTACGACTTTCTCGTTATGTCTTTCAACAGGAGAAGATTATGTCAACGATGAACGATGTACTCTAAGCCTTCCTTTCGTCTGTGGAAAACGCGTCTAGCTGGCCTTCGTTGTCCCTAAAAGCTCAACGGTGTGACCTTCTCACTCGCGTCACCTGCAGGACATCAAGCCTCGATGTCACACCTGCTAATACAGGTGCTGGCCAGTAAATTAGAATATCATCAAAAGGTTGAAAATATTTCAGTAATTCCATTCAAAACGTGAAACTTGTACATTATATTCATGCAATGCACACAGACCAATGTATTTCCGATGTTTATTACGTTTAATTTTGATATTTATAGGTGACAACCAATGAAAACATCAAATCTGGTATCTCAGAAAATTAGAATATTCTAAAGGCCAATGAAAAAATGTTTGTTTCTCTAATGTTGGCCAACTGAAAAGAATGAACATGAAAAGAATGTGCATGTATAGCACTCAATACTTAGTCGGGGCTCCTTTTGCCTCAATAACTGCAGTAATGCGGCGTGGCATGGACTCGATCAGTCTGTGGCACTGCTCAGGTGTTATGAGAGCCCAGGTTGCTCTGATAGTCGTCTTCAGCTCCTCTGCATTGTTGGGTCTAGCGTATTGCATCCTCCGCTTCACAATACCCCATAGATTTTCTATGGGGTTAAGGTCAGGCAAGTTTGCTGGCCAATCAAGGACAGGGATACCATGGTCCTTGAACCAGGTGCTGGTGGTTTTGGCACTGTGTGCAGGTGCCAAGTCCTGTTGAAAGGTGAAGTCTGCATCCCCATAAAGTTGGTCAGCAGCAGGAAGCATGAAGTGCTCTAAAACTTCCTGGTAGACGGCTGCATTGACCCTGGACCTCAGGAAACAGAGTGGGCCAACACCGGCAGATGACATGGCACCCCACACCATCACTGACGGTGGAAACTTTACACTGGACCTCATGCAACGTGGATTCTGTGCTTCTCCGCTGTTCCTCCAGACTCTGGGTCCTTGATTTCCAAAGGAAATGCAGAACTTGCTTTCATCAGTAAACATAACTTTGGACCACTCAGCATCAGTCCAGTCCTTTTTGTCCTTGGCCCAGGCGAGACGCTTCTTGCGCTGTTTCTTGTTCAATAGTGGCTTGACACACGGAATGCGACACCTGAATCCCATGTCTTTCATGAGTCTCCTCGTGGTGGTTCTTGAAGCGCTGACTCCAGCTGCAGTCCACTCTTTGTGGATCTCCCCCACATTTTTGAATGGGTTTGTCGTCACAATTCTCTGCAGGGTGCGGTTATCCCTAGAGCTTGTACACTTTTTTCTACCACATTTTTTCCGTCCCTTCGCCTGTCTGTTAATGTGCTTGGACACAGAGCTCTGCGAACAGCCAGCTTCTTTAGCAATCACCTTTTGTGTCTTGCCCTCCTTGTGCAAGGTGTCAATGATTGTCTTTTGGACAGCTGTTAAGTCAGAAGTCTTCCCCATGATTGTGGTGCCTTCAAAACAAGACTGAGGGACCTTTTAAAGGCCTTTGCAGGTGTTTTGAGTAAATCAGCTGATTAGAGTGGCAGCAGGTGTCTTCTATATTCAGCCTTTTCAGAATATTCTAATTTTTTGAGATACCAAATTTGGAGTTTTCATTAGTTGTCACTTATGAATATCAAATTTAAATGTAATGAACATTGGAAATACATTGGTCTGTGTGCATTGCATGAATATAATGTACAAGTTTCACGTTTTGAATGGAATTACTGAAATATTTTCAACCTTTTGATGATATTCTAATTTACTGGCCAGCACCTGTATTTCTGTCTCGTCAATCTGGCTCAACCGTCTCATTTATCTTTGTTATTAGACCTGAATGGATCCTTAAGAATGCTTTGAAGCACATATGCCAGAGTCAAGGCCCGTGGGCCAGATGCGGCCCGCGGAGCATTTTTATGTGGCCCGCGAGATAAATATCAAAAATGTATTAAAACTGGCCCGCTGGCCGATTTTACCGCAAAGACTTCAACTCCCATGATGCTTTGCGGCGTCAGCACGGAGCCAAAGCGCCCCCTTTGTGTTTTTCCCAGCGGCTGCTGCCAGGTGTGTGCAGCTCCGCTGTCTCGGATATACTACACTCCTCTCACTCAGCGCTGAGTTCACTCAGCTGTTTGCCGACGTTGAAGCCCAGAAATGGAGATTTTAACCGCTCAGTAATGTGTTCACGAAAGTTTTCCAACCTATGTGAGCACCTGTTGTCGTCTAATGTTGTCATTATGAAGATGAACAAAACAAGAGTATCCTCAGCTCAGATCAACCCCATGATGAAGGAATCTGGCTGGAACAGGTGAGCATCACAGTAAACCCAGTGGAGCAAACTGAGCTTTGGATATTTTGGTTTTCTGCTCCAAAACATGATCTTGCATTTTCATTTAAGATAAAATGATATTTTTATGTTGGCCCGTGAGAAATGATTTACCCTACAACAGGAAGTGGAAAGGCTGCAGACAGATGAATAGAATAGAAAATCCCTTTATTGTTCCTCAGTGGGGAAAGCTAGATGACACGTATTACAGGAGAAAAAAGGAGAATAAAAAATAAGAAATGAATAAACAAGAAAACATAAATCCTGAATAGATTTTAAAAATGCTGATTATACCACAAGTAATGAATACCACTGATGCCTTTTATTTAAAAACTGACTTGCTC